GCAACGTGTCGGCCCTGTGTGGTTGGAGGAACAATTCAGTCAGCGGCTAGGGCCAGGGCCAGATCTCAGCGTGGCGGGTGTGGAGGGAGAGCGGCTGGTCTGGATTAAAGCGAGAGAGGGAAGGAGGGAAGAAGGGGGAGGCCGGGAGTGGGAGGGAGGAAAGGATGGAGTGTCAGGCAGCCTTGCAGTCAGTCCACAGTGTGGGAAGGGGACTGAGCAGAGGAGGTATGGGGTGCCTTTCCTCCGCGTCCACTTTTGCCCTACTTTGCAGTTTGCCAGAACTATTTTGAAGGCAGCACCAGAAGCCAGAGGTCAATCCCTTGGGCTTTAAACCTCACTCCTTTAGCCGGCAGTGGGGGTGAAAATCAAATTTGGGGCACAGAAAAGAGTCAAGGCCCAGGGGGCTGTCGGGAAAGCTTTCTGGCAGGAGATGGTGCCAGGAGAACGCCGTGGCCAAGCAGGGCTGGGGTGGGCAGAGGGGTGCTCATTCCCAGCACAGAGTCTCTGACCCACGTCTGGGAACCCTCCTCGGGGTCAGCAGCCTGGCCAGGGGAAGGGCTGGGGCAGGGAGAAACCAGAACCTTCCCGAGAAAGGAGACTAGCGGAAAGAGGAGAGGAAGACAGAAGGCAGGGAAGCAGCAGAATGGCCAGCAGGGGAAGTGGGTGGAGAGAGGGTGAATGGGGGTCAGTGGGACAGACATGGCGGGAGGACGCTGCAGGACACAGACTCCGGGGCTGCCTACCTTGGCTCTTCGAGGGCTGGGGCTGGGATTCCCGGGAGGAGCCTTGACGTTGCACATGGGGCCCTGGCCGCTGGCAGGACTCTTCCGGCGGAGGATGTGAGCCCCAGGCCCCCCGGCAGAGTTAAGGGTGCCTCCCTCCAGGGGCTGGATGTGGAGCTCGGTCCCCTGATACTGCAGCACCCCTAAGAGGGCTCCCCCGTCCCAGTGCAGAGATGCTACCGACTCTGGATCTCCGTTGACGGTGCCGGTGAGGTAGGTGCCTGGCTCGGCCCCTCCCAGCAGCTCAGGGGCTTGGCCCAGGTACTGCACCGTCAGCCCCTCGACCCGCACGCCGGGGTCCTGCTCCAGCTCTAGCAGCAGCGTCTCCCCAAAGGCTGGCAAGCGGTACAGAAGCCTGGCAGGGGCGCCCAAACCAGGCAGGACGCTGCCATTGAGCTTCTCTGGAAACACGATCTCCTCCTCCCGGGGGAGGGGGCTGGCCGGCCGGGCTGAGGGCAGGAGGGAGACCAGCGGCAGCAGCAGCAGCAGCAGCTGCCCCACCAGCCCGGAGATGGGCACGGCGGGGAGCAGCAGGCGGGGTTGGACTCCCCCCGGCCAGCACCCCGCCAAGCCCCTCCTGGGATGCCGGTCCGTCCGGGACATGGCACGGCGCTACAGCTGGGAAGGAGTGAGGCCGTCTGGGCACCGAGTTCTCCCCGCCCTGGCTTTGGAAAGCTCCTCTCTGCAGCCTGGGGGCTCGGACTTGTGCCAGGGTCAGAGGCAGAGTTTTCAGAGGGGCTGGGGACCTTCAGAGGAGATGGAGAAAACTTGGCCCTTAGGCTTAGGAGAGGCGCCTAGTGGCCTGGCTCCTCCAAACTCTCCTCTCACACCCCCTCCTCTCCCGGGTCTTTGTCTCTCCCTGCCCGTGTCTTCTGCAGCTTCTCGGGCCTCTCCTTCTGGGCTCCCTCAGACTGTCTGGCTTTGCCTCTGTGCCTGCCCTGTCTCTGGCTCCTTCCGCTGTGCCTTTGTCTCTGTCTCTCTCCTCCTCTCTCGCCCGTGTCTATGTGTCTGTGGGTCTCCCTGTGGGTTCTTCCCAGCCTCTCTCCGCGCCAGCTCTTTTAAGCATCCCGAGCTTCTGCGATTGGCTGAGCTATAAGCCATTCAGACAGGAGCTCTGTTGGTAGGACTCAGATGGGTGTCTCATTGCTTCCCAAAAATCCTAGTTTTTGTTTTCCTTTAAAAAAAAAAATGGGACTTGCCCAGGGGAGGGGAATCTCTAGCAGCCGGATGGATCACAGGCACTGGGCCAGCTGATGACATAGCCTTTCCCCAAACCCCACAGTCGGCTCTCAGCTATCTCTTTCCCTTTTTGGTGGGACAGAGCCCCAGGAGGGGTTGGAAGTCAGGGAAAGGGCCTGGTCAACACGCACAGAAAGGCCATGGTCCCGGGAGAATTCTCGCTCCCATTCTCTAATCTGGCATGGCCTCCCTTTTCTCAGGGCTTCCTCGTGCTGCCCTCTGCCCCTAGAGGCTGGTTTCCAGAGCTGAGGCAACTGAGTGAACTGTCAGGGAAAGACCGTGGGGAACAGGTAAGGAAGCACCAAGAGGGCAGAACAAAGAAAGGAGGTGGCTGGACTTGGCTCAGGATGGGACCAAGCAGTGGGAGAGAGAAGAGGCCGCAGAGATACGGGGTAGGCAGGTGAGGAGACAGTGATCAGGGAGCTTACTGCCCAAAGGTAGGATGGGTCTGCTTAGAACGGGCACATGGAGCAGGCAGTGGAGAAGGCAGGAGGGGTTAATGACTTTTCCTTTATAGAAGGAGGATCCAGGGTGGCACCTCCTCTTCTTTAACACTCCTCTCCTTCAGGCTCCCTGTTCCTGAGTTACCACTACCCACCCCCTCCAAAGCCCAGAACAGCCAATCCGCCTCCATTCCCCCCAGGGCTCCCCCTCCCCACTTCCTGACTCCCCCATTTCCCTGGCCCAGCTCCCAGTAGCTTCCCCCAGGCTCTTGGCCCTGTTCCTACCCACTCCCAACTGCCCCAAACCCTCCCCCAGCCTCAAGTCAGCCAGCCCCCAGCACAGAAAGACTTGCTCTCCTGGAAACCCAGATGCACCCAAAGTCAGTCCGTCCTGGGGAATCCCCACCTGGCTCCCTCTTTTGGCCCCACCTTGCCCTGAGAACACAGTCGCTCCTGGAATATCTAGTAATTTTTTATTTCTCACGGAGAAGGTGGAGGATGCACTGTGTACAGAGGGAAATTAGCATACTGAGAAACGGGAACCCAGCGCCTGAGGTGGGGAGAGTGCCTGGGGAGGAAGAGGTAGTGGTGGGACAAGGCAGCCAAATGATTCCCTTGGTTTGGTTCTGGACGGGAGAGAACTCAGCAGAGAGGTCTTGGGGGTGGACTCTCGAGATAAGGAAGTAAAGGGTACAGACGTAGGGGCAATTTCTGCCCACTCAATGCTATGGCCACTCCTTTCCCCAGGATATCCCCAGGAAAGAGAATGCAGTCAGCGGTCCCTTTCCTTTCCCAGAGGCACATCACCTGCCCCTACCCCCATTCCTCTACCCACTCTCTGCCTTGTCACCTCCTGTCTCCCAGATCATATCCGCCAGAATGCTTCCTTTCCCTCTCCCTTCCTGCTCAGGTCATGAATACCTGCCCTGGTGCCCACCACTGCCAGACCTACCTCTTCCCCACCACGTGCGCTGACCCTGGTCCTAACTCTGGAGGGGGTTGGGGCTGCGGGAGTCAGACAAAGGACAGGAGACCAGAAGGGGCAGGGGCAAGAGGAGCTATCACCAGAGGACTCTTACTGCCCCTTTCCAACCCCCCATCTGAGATGAGGACAAAGGGGGTGACTAAGCAGTGAGAGACAAAGGGCCTTAGAGTCACAGCAGCAGTGTGTGGGGGTGTTGGCTGCAGGGAGAAGGCACAAAAGATGCAGTGTCCTAGGTAGCCCCCCAGGAGCCCTCACCCCCGTCCCAGCTCAAGTCGCCTCCAGGGCCAAGCAGCCCGGACTCTAGCCTGACTTCTCCCAGTTTGGATTAGGGCAAATAAACGCAGTCCCCACACCTCCAGCATCGCCCTGCCCCCTCCTCACGGTCACTGTGTTCCAACTACAGAGGGAGAGCACGCTCAGGGAAAGGGTGGGGGGAATGAGGGAGAGCCTCTGCCTGGCTGTGGGGGCTGCCCAGTCCACCCCGGTTCCAGTTAGTTCCCACAGCCAGGGATATGGCCCCACCCTTTGGTACGGTTCCCATTAGGTCAACTCCCAGGCTAGAAGTCTGGCTTTCCCCTCTTTCTTCACAGCTAAGAATTCCCTCTCTGCCACTTTCCTGGTCTGTCTGCCCCACCCTGCTGCACTGCTGGTGGGCTGTCTCAGGGACCCTGTCTGGGGGGGGATCGATCTGGGGACTGCCTCTTTCCAGGCTCAGAGTGGGAGGCATGTGCAAACTCAACGGATGGCCCAGCTGGAGCTGGGCTTGGAAGCAGAGGGAGCGAACAGGAACTAGCCTCCAAGGCTGCAAAACTCTTGGTCTCTTCCACTACAGAACTGGCATCAGACTCCTGGTGGCACTAGGACTAAGGCAGGGTCAGAAAGACATGAGGGGAAGAGGACTTGACCCAGGATGGAAGTAGGGGATGAAACATCTCCAAGGGCGCTTCCTGGGTCTGTCATTCTGCAGCTTCTGGAAACCTGGCAGACATCAGGGTCTCCCAGAGCCCCCCCCCCCCCCACTCCCGATCTGGGCGGAGGTGGCTCCTCTACACCCAGCAGCCTGCTCCAGTGCTGGTGGCCTTGGCGTCCTCCTCTTTCTTCGTTTCGGTTTGGCGGGAGCTCTGAGGCCCGCCCAGCCGCGCTGGGGCCCCCGTTCCCTAGCCCATTTGGGCCATCTCGTAATTAGCGGGCTTTCTCCGCTCGGAACCCCGCAAAGCCTGGGGCTGTCCGGGAGGGCCGGGCTCCGCCGCCGCCACGGGGAGCGGGGCTCAGGCAGGAGGCGGGGAAGCACGCGGGCGAGCGAGCGCCGGGCCCCGCGGGAGCCGTAAGTTTCTCCGGCTCCCGCCTCGGCGAGCCAGTCACGAGCAGCGACAAGCACGGCGCCCGGCGCCCGGCCGCCGCTCCGAGAGCGAAAGCGAAGCGTAGGCGCAGAACCCGGATGTCGCCGGCTCGCGGCGGCGGCGGCCCCGCCAGCTTCCAAGAGGGCGGCCCCGTGGTGCCAACAGGCGTGAAGCCGCGAGGAGGCGCGCAGGAGGCACTTCCGCCCGTTCTCCTTCGCGCAGTCCGCGGCGGGGCAAGATGGCGGCGCTGAGGGCTCTGCGCAGCCTCCGGGGCGTCGCGGCCCGGGCGCTGCGGCCCGGGGGCCGGCTGCCGGTTCAGCCCAGCAGGTGAGACTCCGGGCGGCCCTCGACGCGTAGCCCCCGACGCCAGCGGCTCTCGGGTCTGGCGCCTCCGCGGGCCCCGTGACCCCCTAGGAAAGAATGACCCAGGCCTGTGACCCCCCGCCCAGGCCTGCTCTCCCGGGCTCCAGGATGCAGTGGCGCCCGCTCCGGACGAGGGAGGAAAGAGGGGTGAAATCAGCTGTCGGGGGACCCTGCCCTTGAACGTTAGTGATAGTGTCACCTTCCCCTTGTGCCCTGCTGCTTCTCCCGAACCTCATCGTGGGTGGCGTGCGGCTGGTGAAAAGGCTGCTTAGACGAGAAGAGGGAAGCACTCCTGATGGGGTTAAAGGAGGAACACAAACCCAGACAACTCCCCCAGCGCCCTCCCCCCGCCCCCGTTGGTCCCCAGGACATCATTCAGGCCTCACCCGGGCCGAGCCAAGGAGCCAGCATGCCCCTCTCCCCCGCCCCTGCACGGGCACCGCACACCTCTTAGTCTTCGGTTGACCTTGAATACACACCTTGCTTGCATTCATATTCCCCAAGGTGGAAATACGAACGTGATGAGAAGTTGAAGGAGCTGGGATCCCCAGTCTTGCATGCACAGGGGTGATGGGTGCAGTGATTGCAAGATTAAGTTGTTAGTAGGAATGGAACGTCTGGAGTTCCAGCTTGTTCTGCTAAAGCTACACTGTGTGCCAGTGGCTTGGTGTTGGAGAATCCGAGGGCCCTTCCCTGGGCCCACCTGGGAGTGCATGAGAACAGAGGAACCAAGCGCTGTTGAGGCCCTGTGTCTAGGATCTGTCTTTAACTCCCTAGAGGTGCTCGGCAATGGCAGCCAGATGCGGAATGGGCAGAGCAGTTTGGGGGAGCTGTCATGTACCCCACCAAAGAAACAGCCCACTGGAAGCCTCCACCTTGGAATGGTGAGTTCCCAGAGCCGCTGTCCCGACTCACACCCATCCCTGTCCCAAGCTGATTTCTGAGTGCTCTTGAGCTCTGTCAAGGCAAGTTTGCGCCCTCGCCCTTTTTGCTTCTTTCACCAGCGCTTCAACAAACACAGGAACACTGATAATAGGGCAGGTATTTATCAAGTAGAGAAGGAAAGGAAGAGCATCCCAGGAGAAAAAGTAGGTCCTAGTCAGCCCTTGGAGATCCCTACCAGATTTATATTTTTAGCTTCAGCTTTTTCCGGAGGTTCAATATATTTCCATCTTCCTTCGGTAGAAAAGGTTTTTCCCACTGGTACTCAAATGACATCTTCCAGACTATGAAGCATTTTGCCCCCATCAGAAGTAGCTCTTCCTTGTGACTTTTTGATTTTGATCAGTGATACCCACATTCTCCTAATTTCTCAGGAATGAAACATTTTAGTCATCTTTGGCTCTTTTTTCTCTCTTGCCCTCCCTGTCTAAATCCAAGAAGTCACCAAACCATGCAGATTCTTTTATAATGTTACATATCAGATCATCTTTTCCTTTCTTGTTCAGATCTATTTTGTACTAGACCTTAATTAGTCAGGGGTCTCTTCACTGGGTTCCTGCCCACTGATCTGGTCCCCCTCCAGCTATGCAGGACAATGTAATCACCTTCATCTTCCCCAAACATCATTTTACCATGGCATTCATTCTCTCGCTCAGAAACCTTCAGAAGCACTTCCAGTTACTTTTCAAAAATATTAACAGTAAGAGTAGCCAAGTGTTTACCATGTGTCAGGTGTTTGGTGTGCATTATTTCACTTAGTCCTTGCAACAACTCCATGAAGGCGATACTAGTATTATATCACTTTGAAGAAATCATGGTGCAGGGAGATGAAAAACTTGATCAAGGACTCCTACATGGATTTGCACTCGGGTCTATGTGACTCCAAAGCCCATGGTGCAGAATTTTGGTTGAAAAGTTAAGCTCTGGTTTCAATTCTCTGCTCTCCCATTTACCAGTGAATAAAGTGCCTATTTCATAGCATCACTGTAAGGATTAAATGGGATCATAACATGAATCAGTTAGTGTAGTGCCTGGGACATGGTAAGTCCTCTGTAAGTGTTGTTATTAATGATACTGATAATTGAACCACTACCCCCTACTGGCGGCCAACACTCATCTTCTGCCTCTTGGTAGATAGAGAGTTCCACAGATACTTCCTTGTTTCCAAGATTTCACCTTTGTTGATTCCATAGCCCGGGATGCTCTTCTGTCTACCTGTTTGAGTCATTCCCTGTATTTAAGAACCAGCTCATATCCTGCCTTCATGAAGTCTTCACAGTGTTCTTTTCTTCCTTTAAATACTTAACGGCTAAGCCATTTACTTGGTAACTTGTGAATTTGGCCTCTCTTACTCGTTCCTCACATGTACTTATTTCCCAAATTAAACTCTATGCTTTTTGAGGGTAAACACTGCCGTTCGGTAGTGGTAAGAATTAAGTATACATTTCCTGATTGGCTGGGCATTCATCAGATAGATTTGGAGGGCAGTGTATCATAGTGGTTAAGAATGTGGACTGTGAGGGGCGCCTGGGTGGCTCAGTCGTTAAGCGTCTGCCTTCGGCTCAGGTCATGATCCCAGGGTCCTGGGATCGAGCCCCACATCGGGCTCCCTGCTCGGTGGGAAGCCTGCTTCTCCCTCTCCCACTCCCCCTGCTTGTGTTCCCTCTCTCATTCTCTCTCTCTGTCAAATAAATAAATAAAATCTTTAAAAAAAAAAAATAAAAGAATGGACTGTGGAGCTGAACAGGTTGAGATCGGTCCTGACTGCCAGTTGCTAGCTCTCTGAGAAGTCATTTATCCTCTCTGGCTTCAGTTTCACCAATAAAATAAGGATAATAATAGTACCCACTAATCATGTGGTTGTTAGGGAAATTAAATTAATTAAAATCAGTGCTTAGGGTAGTGCTTGGCACATGATAAGGACTATATGAATGATATTAGTAATATCTATGGGTTTTTAAAAAATATTTATTTATTTATTTGAGAGAGAGCACATGTGCATCTGTGCACAGGTATGTGCCGGGGAAGGGGCAGAGGGAGAGGGGGAGAGAGAATCCTCAAGCAGACTCTGTGCTGACCACAGGCCCAATGCAGGGCTTGATCCCAGGACCCTGAGATCAAGACCTGAGCCGAAATCAAGTCAGACGCTTAACCGACTGAGCCACCCAGGTGCCCCCAGTATTACCATCTTTAAAAAGGTATCTGGGCGACATGGAAAGAGTAAGGTTCGTGTGTGGTTCCTCTTGTCAAAAAATTTAGATCTTCCTCCCCTTTTTCCCATGTAATGGTCTTCTTCCTGGTTATGTTGGCGATTAGGGAATTTAACAGGGTGTGGAATGGTGACATGGAAGATCTATAGGGAGAGGCTAACTCCTTGCTGTCTCTTGGGGGTTCTCTAGGGAATTACCATTTGGCTCTGAACTCTTTCCCACTTCTCAGATGTGGACCCTCCAAAGGACACAATGGTGACAAACCTGACCCTGAACTTTGGGCCCCAGCACCCAGCAGCTCACGGTGTCCTGCGACTAGTGATGGAATTGAGTGGGGAGATGGTGCGGAAGTGTGACCCCCACATCGGCCTGCTGCACCGAGGCACTGAGAAGCTCATTGAATACAAGACCTATCTGCAGGTGTGGGGGTGAACAGGGGCCTGCTGACGGGACCTGGGGATGCCGTGGCCTGGAACTTTGCCAGTTTGCTGCCCTCTAAAGCCCCAGGGAGGAGGGTGTTGAGGACATGAGGACAGTCTTGGGGAGATGGAGGGATGTTCCAGGGGATGCGTGACTGGAATCCATCTAGATTTGGTTTATCCAGCAGAAATGCTTGGGAGCCAGAGCTACACTCCCAGCTTTTCTCCAGATGACTTTTGGCTGGCCCCTTTACCCTTTCTCTAGTGCCTCAGTTTCCCTGTTCTTATATCCTACTAGGACGTCAAAGCCGATGTCCCTGGGGACAGGGGAAGAGAGGAGAGAGACGTAAGCTTCCTAGGATTAACAGCCGATTCTTGTATCTTCCAGCTGTCTTAAGTTTGTTTTCGAAACACTCAGTGAGTCAGAGTGACCGGGAGGGAGTTTGTGGCTGTGTGCCGTTTTTAGGAGAGCTCTGTGACCCAAGTGGTGAGGATCAGATTGGAAGGAATTGGAGCTGGGACAGGCATCTGGAGTTTTTTCTTACCGTCATGAAGAAAGGTCTTGCTCACAGAGGGTGACGGGAGTAGGATACAACCAGCTGACTAGGACGTGATCCCCCCAGAGAGTGCAGGCATGGATGGTGCCTGGTCCCAGAGAGTATGGAGCTAAACCCTGCAGCATTAACCCACGTCACAGTGACATCAGGACAAGAACTGGCTGTCCCAAAGACGGGCCTCCCAGTCCCGCCTCCTTCCTGGAAGCTGAAGCGGGTTCGGCAGACGGCTTGACTGGTTTTCTTGGCATTCTAGGGAAAGAACCATTTCTCCCCGATCAGAAGCCAATCCAGTCCGTCTCAGGGCTCTGTCTTCCTTAAATCCCTCACTCCCACCCAGTTAGTCCTAAGACTGGTTACCTTTCTCCTCCAGTGCCTCAGAGAGGCACTCTTGTTTGAGACTGTTGTGGGCCGGAGGAGTGTGACCAGAGGTACGTTGGAGTAGCTTCTACCAGCCCGCAGGAACAGATGGTTAAGTTTTCGGGAATTTTGTGAGCCAGGTGTTAAACAGAGCCATTATTAAAAGTTAGATTGTGGTAGCTTGCAGTTTAATAAATTATATCAAAAGGTAAGAAGTCCTCAAAGCTCATCCCTTTCTTATTTTGCTTTGCGGTGCTCTGAAGTTATGTTACTGTATCTGCTTGGCAGAAGTACCACACAGTGCTGAGCTCCTCTACCCAGCACCGGCTTCCATTCCGTGGCTTACAGCTGGCCCTGCGAAGTGGAGTTTCACCGTGGAAGTTGGCCCACACAACACATAGGGTTCCCTCCCAGCCCTTCAGAGATCTGATTTTTAACCGTTTCCCAGCACGTACCACTGGTATTGGCTGCTGCCTTGCTCGGCTCCGGGGACTGGAAGGCTTTGTGCAGCACTAACTCTGATGCCCGTGGAGAGCAGTGCTCTTGGCGGCTGGCTGAGGGCTCCTGGCCCGTTAGCTGTGACCCACGCTCTTCCCTTTTCCCAGGCCCTTCCGTACTTTGACCGGCTAGACTATGTGTCCATGATGTGCAACGAACAGGCCTACTCACTGGCTGTGGAGAAGTTACTCAATATCCAGCCTCCGCCCCGGGCTCAGTGGATCCGAGGTAAGCCCCATCACCTTCCCGTGGCCCTCCCCGACTGCTGCCCAGCTTAGGAGCATCGCACCCAAGCTTAGTATGCAGACCCCAGGCTCCGCCCACAACTGCTGTGTCAGCGTCGATCCTTGGCTTCTATGTCCTTCTCTTCTTTTTTTTTTTAAAGATTTTATTTATTTGACAGAGAGAGACACAGCGAGAGAAGGAACACAAGCAGGGGGAGGGGGAGAGGGAGACGCAGGCTTCCCGCAGAGCAGGGAGCCCGACGCGGGGCTCGATCCCAGGACCCTGGGATCATGACCTGAGCCGGAGGCAGTCGCTTAACCAACTGACCCACCCAGGCGCCCCCTTATCCTTCTCTTCTTGTCTTCACCTGTCTACAGTGCTGTTTGGAGAAATCACACGGCTTTTGAACCACATTATGGCTGTGACTACACATGCCCTGGACATTGGGGCCATGACCCCTTTCTTCTGGATGTTTGAAGAGAGGGAGAAGGTAAGAGAAGGAGGATAGGATAGGCAAGGGGGTACAAGAAGTAGAGAAGGTTCTTGAAGAAGAGACGAGATTAAAAGGAGAGAGAACATAGAACATTTAAAGGAAGAAGGTCTAATTAATTTGGGTTATGTTCTTTTTTCTTTTTTAAAGATTTTATTTACTTGTCAGAGGAGAGAGAGTTCACAAGCAGGGGGAGCGGCAGGCAGAAGGAGAGGGAAAGGGAGAAGCAGGCTCCCTGCTGAGCAGGGAGCCCGATGTAGGCTCGATCCCAGGACCCCGGGATCATGACCTGAGCCGAAGGCAGTCGCTTCACCCACTGAGCC